CTCTGCCATACACTATGAACGCAGCCTTATACATAAAGAAAAACCGTCGGTGCCATAGAAATGTGATTGAGATAAACGCGACATTTGTCTGCCGAAGTTGATGCAATTGATCAATATATCAGATAAAAGTGTTTTTTCAATGTGGAATGGCACTCTGCCTTCTATTGGCAAAGAAGATGAGTCTAAGTGCACGAAGTTTCGTAAAAGTAAAAGTTATTTAAAAGTGACTTAGATGTTTGCCCCAAGCAGCAAGTCCTTTAAGTAGGGGTGGATTAATGCGCAATATAGCGCAACCCGGTCAAATTGGTGAGAGAAGAGCTCTATCAACGTAAGCAAACCGGTGCAAAAACCTTTCCTCAGTCCTTCGTCTGACCTCGTAAAGCATGCAATTCACCTACCACTATGGAAACCATTTTAACGACCTAGAATTTACAATTTAATCGGTGCAATAAAGCTTCCTGACAGCGTTTATTATACGTCTGCGCTTACCAAACAACGTTGACAGACTCGTGACGAGAGATGTTTTTCCGTGTGATTGAATCCAAATTAGTATACAATATTTTGATTTCTGTTTCCAAAAACACGCGTGTTTTGATCCCTGATCCCACAAATAATGATCCCTTGGTGATCCCTGAATTTATTCATAAGATCCCTTTTCTGTGATCCCTGATTATAAAGCATGCAATTCACCTACCACTATAGAAACCATTTTAACGACCCAGAAGTTACAATTTAATCGGTGCAATAAAGCTTCCTGACATCGTTTACTATACGTCTGCGCTGACCAAACAACGTTGACAGGCTCGTGACGAGAGATGTTTTTTGAATCCAAATTTGTATACGATATTTTGATTTCTGATTCCAAAAACAAGCGTGTTTTAATCCCTGATCCCACAAATAATGATCCATTGGTAATCCCTGAATTTATTTATAAGATCCCTTTTCTGTGATCCCTGATTCGTAGTATGTGATCCCTAATCCTACATCCTCATCAAGACCCTGATGTTGATATGCCTCCAATTCACTGGACGAAAAAATGCGAACACTCTCGCAGAACTGAATTCAAAAAAGATAAGGTTTTCAATACAGCCGGCATGATGTTTATCTATTGAATGACGGACGGAAGCACAGGTCTAGCTTGGCAATATCTACAGCTGATCTGACTATATATTCACTGAAATCACGATAAGCTCAATATTTTAGAGTTTTATTACTGGTTCATAGTGAATGAGCTTTTAACATGTAATTCAAAAACTCACAGGACAGAAGAATAACAACTATAACTGGAAAGAGAGCATATTAAAAATGAGCAAAAACTGTGAAGTTTGAAGAAAGTAAGTTTAAAAATCGCGAAGACATGATTCAAGTTTCAAAAATCGAAATTTGTTAAAACGTTGTTGTTGTTGTTTGTTTGTTGGGTTTTTTTTATATTTCTTTTTTTGCCTCCAGTAAAGGTTTCTTACAAAATTCGCATTTTTTAAAAATAACATCTTCGCAAGTCTTGAACTTATTCTCTTCAAACTTCGCATTTTTGCTGATTTTAACACATTATTTCCACCTTTTCTATTTCAAAAATACCTGATGGGACTCAGTCTGAGTTATAATGAGAAAGAAAAATTATGTTAAATCAACAATTGTTTTGCTCACTTAAAACAAATGAGGGAGGAGAAAAAGGAAGAACGAAAGAAAGGAACCGCAACAATGAAACGAACGAAAGAATGAGAGAAAATTTCGAACGCACGAAAGTGCATGAGATTGGATAAAGGAAAGCGTAGAAGCTTGGGCTAAGTTAGATTGTCAAGCAACCTAGCCCTTAATTACTCCGGTTCTTATGAGGCTTAAGAAGACCAAGAGATGTTATTTCCCTTTTTCGAAAAAGGTTGTCGGCGCCAAAGGCAACTAAGTGATAAGCGATAGTGATAGGGACATTCCAAGACCCAAGAATAGCTGCCGGCTGGAATGACTTGTTTCTTAATACTAATCTCGTCAAGAACATGAAGGTTAGTGTCGAGATATCTGGTGCTGTTTGTAGTCGATCGAGATAAAAGCATTTTAGAAGGCCCTGATTATTCGTATTCTGTTGCATGCTCGCGGCCCATAATATTCATTATCACTCTTATGGCCTATTCTACTTAGGCCCATTTTTGATATGGCCTTATGAAAATTAGTCTCGAAAAATTTGGTCAACGTTTAGGTTGATTTTTTTTCCAAGAAAATTAATGGTTTGAAAGGCGATACAAAATACATGAATGAAGAGACTACTCCCTGCTACGCCTTGTTTTTCAACTCTTTTTTTTTTTCGGGATTGAATATCGAATGAGATATTTTTGATACTATTACGAACCAACCTTTGTTTCTTACCTGAGTGGTGAAAATCAAACTCGTCCGGGTACCGCTTTCCTGAATCTCAAGCGATCTGCTTCGCTTTACTTTACTAGTCGCCAAAACAGGATATGAAACGAAAGACAAAGTTTGACTGTTGTGTGTCATATAACATGGGTATACGCCACATTATTGGATCTAGCGAGAAATAGCGTATTTCAGTTATTTAAACTTTCAGAATCTGTCAATTTTGTTTACACAACAGAAGCCCTTGCGCTAGACATTTGACTCGAACATAATTTTTTTGAGGGGCCTTGTTATAAATATTAGTTAAGAGCATTTTAAATATTTTCACTAGCTAGGAAGCAATAGCAAGCACAACGTAGAATGATTGGTCAGTGGTTGATGATAAGATACGGTAATTAATCTATAAGATCACAAGCGGAAACCTTTGACATGCTATTTAAAGCTTTACGTCTTAGCGTTTATTGAGATTGTAGCGGCAAGAGGTCTTCACTCACGATCCACTAGGATGTTTCCACTCCTAATCGCAAACCTACTTCGCAGTCTTTTTTAGATAAGACTGGTGAAAGGAAAAAATCAAACCCACCAATCAGTTTCTATAAGCTCTTGATGTGTTCCGATGTTTTAGAAAAAAATAATCGCTTGCTATTTATTCCTCTCTTCTTAATTTTTTCCCTTCTTCCCTTCATTTTTTCTTCCCTGTATTTCTTCTTTACGCGTCCCAGCATTCACTGATACAGCATTTCAGATTTTTGCAGGAAAAAAAGAAAAGAAAAAAAAAAAGAGAGAAAGAAAGAAAGAAAGAAAAAAATCAACCAGTCTTAATCGAAAAGTCGGCCAGTAACTAAAAAACCAATTGTCAAATTTTAAGAGTTTGTTTTTGATTTTACCGCATATTCATTCAAATTTGTTAAAATGATTACCTTTTTTCTTTTTATTCATCTTCAGTTGGAACTGAGTTTCGTTTGATGCTCTCAATTTTCTTCACGCCACGATACGATGTTTTCTTAAATGTTTCCAAAAGGTGGCAAAACTGTCAGGAAACATCGGGAAACATGTTTGCTCAATATCGGTTAGGGCATGCGGCACTTTCAAGATAGAGCTAGCGTTACTAAGTAACGAATTTTTAGAATGTTGACTTTCGTGGCTAAACGAGGAAACATTGATGAAAAAAATTGTTTCCATGCGTCTTGGAAGCATGAAATGTTTCTGCCGCACAGCAGAAACATTTTTGCGTCTTGGAAGCAAAATTTGTCGCACGTAGAAATGTTTCGCATGTGGCTAAACTTGGAGACATCGGGGAACATGCGCGCGGTAAACATGTTTCTGCAAACTTGTTTCCTCGTTTAGCCAGGGCCCACCACTACGGCTAATCAGTTACTGTTTGTCGTAGGCGGAGTAGGAACACTGATAATTGGTTTTAGATGATCACACACAATAGGCTTGACCCTCCTATGTGACATCCCTGATTCTTGGTGTTTTGCTTTTTTGTACAGTATTCAAATTTTGGGACAATTTTTTCCTAAATCACCTGCTACGAGTTTTTGGGGTTCAATGGCGCCCGCTATGAAAACTCTGATATTATTATTAGTTCTCTCCGGGGATTTCAAATATTGGTTCTATTTAAGAGCAGTCAGTTCAGATAAGACAAGACAAGGCAAATCATTACGTGAACAAATTCAACTAGGTAAGTTGAAAATATAGGGACATATTTTATAATCTAGGCTGGATTTCCAAGACAACTGAAGTCACTTTGAAAGATTTAATCAATGATAAGCATTAGTATATCCATGCAGTATTCGAGGAAAACAGCTGTGAACAATTCTTCTTGTGTACACATTAATGAAGGAAGACAGTATCGAGTTGTCCTTACCACGTCATGTCTTTAAATCTTCAAATTGTTAAACAGTGAGACAGCCTCTGCGGAGCTGGTTAAAGTCAGGACAGACTCCAAGTAAACTCACAGATCAAACTGGAATTTAGCGTGTTACGGTTTTGAGGAGGGAGGAAAACCGGAAAGCCTGGAAAAAAACCTTGAATCAAGTGAGAGACCTAATAAAATCTACTCGCATGTGAGGTGAGAGGCGAATGCCACTACAGCCAACTACACCCTTGAATCCCATCATCCATCATATAGATAACGTAAACCGGTTTTCGATCTTTCAAACAGGTTTATCAAGATGCGGCGTCAAGAAGTCCTCATAGCCTTGCTACTGTTTACACTTGTTTGCTCAGGTAAACTAAAGTAATATTATTTAAATACCGCAAAATCGGCGATACTTATATGATATTAAATGTGAAGAGATATAACTAGCTAAAAACTAGTGATATTAAATGTTATTGCCTCTTCAAGCTCCTCACAAGGAAAACATCTCACCAGAAAATGAGCTCACGAAGGACAAGCGTGCTAGTAGCGGCTTTGGTAAGTAAGAGTTTTGGATAAAAGTCTCTTATATGTCACAGGCACTCGTTATTAATATTTACAATCAATGTTCTTTCAAGGTAAAGCCGGTGGCAGCAAAATCGTGAATCCTTTATTCTCTTTCCATAACTTTGGATAAAATCCATAGAAACTTGCCCATAAGTACCGAATAAGCAGATTAATAAAGGATGTTAATAACGCTGAATATTGTGTCTTATATATTTTTTAAATGCAAACTAAAATACGGAAATAATGGTTTTCATATTCTACCACAACACCGGTGTTTTGTAGATCTGRGGTACTTACCATTTAAACCAAGCCATCCGGTTGAAAATTCATTCGCTAATTGACAGTATGAAAAGGGCGGGAAACTTTGACTGTCGTCACCTCAGCTACCGAAAGAACCAAAAAGATCGGGAAACTGAATGGATTACCTCAATTAAAAGATCTAGTTTTCTGGAACTTTCCGATGGGAATGATGCATACCATTTGTTTTAACCGAAATTTCCGGTTTTCCTGGTAAATTGTAAGCACCCAGGCCTTTCTCCGATCCAAAATCGCCCTTTCTCTCTCTCTCTCTCTACACGTCCGTCTGTCCGTCTGTCCGACTGTCCGTCTGTTTCCTATAACCAACTACAACTTTCTTTTCTCAAGGTAACGCTGGTCAACATGTCCATTTTTATGGATTGGTGTGGGAGCACTTAACCTAACTCTGGACGCGACGTGACTCGTATTAATACTAGAGTCCAGTTTCGAGTTCTCCATTGCTCAGGGCAAGAGAATATTAAGTAAGAGAGCACATCTCCCATACATGGGTCTGTAACCATGAAAGTTTCTTGAAAATCTATTTTTAGCTGCGCGCGCAAGCCTGAGCTATTTTTAGCATGCGATCCCTTATTGCTGCTCAGAGTTGTAGTGACTTCCATGCGAGCGAAAAATGTTTAGTGACGAGAAGAATACCTTCAAAATTAGTAAAAAGTTGAAATGATTAAAGTATCATGTGTTCTTCATGGACGAATTAAACATTAACTTAACAATTGATGTAAAAGAACATCGAAAAAKATCAAATCAGGATGGTTTTCAGTCACATACGAACAAGCGCTAAAAACAGCGAAGACGCCATGGGGAAAGAAACCGCAATAAAAAATACGATGAAAATAGCGAAAAACCTACAGTGAAGACAGCCAAAAAAGCATTTACCGTGGTGTTTTCTATAGTAAWTAAAGTTTAAGTTAAAGTAATTAAGAAGACGATGAACAAGAACAGTATTTTGTTTCACACACGAATCAGAAAAACTATKYGCACCGAAATGTGCCGAAGAAAATTTTCTGTTYTCACAGAGGAAAAAACTACAAGAGGCACTGAAGTGATTTTTCACAATTATTAAATATGTTTAGCTTGCCAAAATACGGTGTGTCAGTTTATGCAAAAGACATTGCCCATTTAGAAAAGGCGAATTAATGAAAAAGTTTGACTATTAAAACTAGAACTTTCTTTCAAATTTTGCATCTTGAATTTTCGCCCCGCCTCAATGTTCAGGTATTTTTTCATAACTTTTCAACTTTTAAAGTCCCAAACAGACAATAGAAATACAATCACAATATCGGTGAAGTACAAAAAGTGAATCAAACTTAGTATTTGAGGATTCAAACTAATAAAAAAAAGATTATTTTTACCTGATTGAAGGCCGTTTTACTGTATTTGTGCGTATTTGTGCCTTTATGTTTAATTCTTCTATTCCGAGCAGCTTGACTGTTTTCAGCTATCTTAAAACCTCTTCTTTTTACTGGTAAACAACTGATTCCAACAGAAAATGCTAAATTTTCTCTCAAGTTTAAAGTTTTTTAAACTCTTGACTCATTGAATTCGACAAGTTTGTTCATCGAAAATCCGGCTCTTTCGTAAACGAATCCAATCTACCTTCATTTTAGATGTCCATTAGATAACTTGTCATTTTGAAAACACTGAAGTTCAGGTCAGAAGTACGTKTTCTTGGGATGCAGCAATATTAACTGTATTTCAGTTTAGGTGGAGAATTGTGGAATAACTTACAGTTTCATCTATAACTGCAATCAACTCCAAAATGAATGAGTCTCAATCGAGCGACCATTGTTTTGATTTAAAAACAAGCTTGAATGATGTTGTCTTAGCTGAGTATTTTTTACATATGCTGCCAATGGATTCCTTCAAAATCCTTTCAGAATTTCTCAAGGAATTCCTCTAACGCATTTTCTCGTAAAATTGAATAAAGTTTGGTTTGTCAACTGCATGAAGCTTGCTTTGTCACTGCCGATCTCTTGTGTACCCATGACATCACTACAATCTGACCAATCAGGAATCGCATGCTAAAATAGCTCAGGCTTGCGCGCGGAGCTAAAAATAGATTTTCAAGAAACTTTCATGGGTCACAGGGATATGCTCTCTTACTTCATATTCTCTTGCTCAGGGTTAATCTTGATTTTGCGTAGAATATTCACGTGTTCCAGTAAGGTCCGTGGAACTACGTAGTGTTTGTTGAAGTTGTGCACTTTACCCAATTTACCCTTTATTGACGCTGAAACGAGGCTAGCCCCGAGTTTACGAGTCTGTAATCAACAAACACAGCGGTTTAAGTGCAAATTCGAAAATGGTGTCGAACGATTTTTAAAAATCTAAAATCTTTTAAAAAGCGCGTACACTACTATGAGTCTAACTTCAGGTTTCCGAATCTCTAATTTTAGATTATCATCTGTTCATAGCCATCATTTGGGATTCAGAATGAATGATGGGTTTTTAATAATGCGGGATTTCAGTGGATATGCGAGGGGAACACTACTAAGATATAATACGTACGCGCGTGTATTGGCCGTAAAATGGTACTACAAAACAACAACTGACCACTGCACCACCTCCCAATACCCAACATCACCACCACAACCACCTTTGCAACCCATCAAACATCTATCGCCAACATGCCTCCAAACCACCAACTCGCCACTACCACCACCAACAACAACAACAACTGCCGGGTGAGAACAATACAACAACAGCAATGGCGAGAACAACAACAATCAGATTGATACGAAAAGATAGGATTTAAGTTAGGTTAGGGACATTTCATAATAGTTGTGTATTAAACACGTAAGCGAACACTAAAATATATCTTAAGCTTACTATGAATGTAGACCGTATTTATAAACCTTGTTAATCAGATCAAAGATCAGCAAGCTGAACTCGGCACTTAGAAGTCATAAAAGGTGGAATTGTGACTCACCTATTATATAAAAATGAATAAAAATAAAAACTTCAGAAGCATGCAGTAACTCTGAACAGTGGACCCCAGTCTTGTCGAAGTTTTTCAAGGTCTCTGTCCAGTACAAGTTACAGAAGTCAAGCAGATAGGCCATTTGGCTCCGCAGAAGACACATATATTTCAAAACAAAACGACTAAATCGAGAGTTCAAGGGGACACAAAGCCACTTGAAGTTTCTTGTTTCCACTTTTCAGTATCCCGAAAAAAAGGCGAGCAAGAATTAAGGCTTGCCACACAATGAAGCCGCAATTTTTAAAGAAGAAAAAATCCAGTGAAAAGTAACAAAAACCCGTAGATTTCAGCGTTGTGTGGCTACAAAAAAATCTAAACACTCACCTTTGTATAGCAGCTTGTCCAGTTTTAGCAGTATTTAGAGAAAAATATGGGATAATCTTGAACAAATTTATTCAGAGACACAATATTTCTATCACTGACTCGTCACTGACGACTGACAGATTGAGCGAGTTGCCAAGCCTTATCTACACAGGAAGCCCATACTAAATATTTACATGGCTCTCAGTCTTTTATCTTTTACAATTGTAAATTTTTCATAAAGCAAGAAAAACAATATTTTACAACGGAAATCATAAATTTTTATGAAGGTAAGTTTCATGATTTAATAAATTTTCATTTGTTTCCTTATTTATTATTGATGTTTTTTTATCGGTGTTTTTTAATTGTAATCCGGAGTGTGATTAGCAAGATCTGGAAAGAACACCGAATTTAGACAGTTCTTAGATTTTTATGTCTTACAGTAGAGTGATTTTAGTCACACTGTTGAATAGTTAGATACATTTATCTAACTTAGATAACTATTTAGTTGACGTCACCTAAAATAGTAAAAGCGCGCCAATAACGGTAATGCTAATCCGGGGGCTTGTTTTACCAGAGAATGAGTGAATAGACATTCATTTGTATCATCGTTTCTCCCCCTGATCTCAGTAGCTGTTTACTCGTAGTTTCAAATTTAGGTGACTTCAGCTAAAATAGTAAATAACTTATCTAATTTAGTTGACGTAACCTATTCAACAGTGAGACTAAAAGCACTCTGTCTTACATTAATTTTTTTGGGGTCCCTGTGGATTGCGTCATTCCATTGAGCGCATGCGCTCTATTTATTTCAAGATGGCGGCTCGTCTGGGTGAAAGATCTGCAAGATGTATTTTTTGCGTTTGTTCTTCATTTATTCAGCCTGTTGTTCACAGATCTAAATACCACACATTACTTAATAGCTCATTACATTTAGGGAAGAGTAATGTTTGCAGGAATATTAAGAAAGGTAAGTCAAAAATAAGATACTTTCATGGATATTGATCGAGTGTGCACATGGTCAAGCCGCTGCCTGATCTGATATTAATTTCGGCTGATTTTCATTTCTTTCTTTTGTGCAGGAAACTTTCAGTTAATTAAACCTTTAGCAGCTGGCACTATTAGAGGTTGTGATTTCCATACATCAGGTAATTATTACTCGTTTTAATCGGAAATTAAGATTAATTGACCATTGAAGCTCAGCTTATGTACCCTGCTGACTGATTGTAGTTAGACAATACATCTAAGACCAAAATGGCGCACTGCCAAGTGGGTAACATAAAAATGAGGCATCCAGGGTCATATGCCAAGAAATATACAATATGGGTTCAATGCAAAGTATACACTTGTTCACTTGTTCTGTCTAAGTTCTTTCCATATTACATTCAGGAACACAACAGTTTCGTGGCATCTAATTATAAGAAAATACTGTAAATTTGGCCCCAGATGCCTCCTTTTCACCTGGCCGTGTGCCATTTTGGATTTAAATGTAAATTTTGATATTTAAGGTAATGCACCAGTCAAAATAAACCCYGACCCCTGTCCCCCCTCCTTTCCCCACCCTGGGATATGTGGGGATTTGGTGGGGGTTTGATACCATTTTAGCAGCTTTTTGGGTCCCGTCTATGTGGGGGATTTACACATTTTTTCATCCCTGCTGAAGGAATGTGGTGCATAAAGTGGGGATTTGTTTTGTAAATTCCAAGTTCATTGGTGGCCATTGTTTCCACAGAAGATTTTGGGTCGCAGCATTTTAATTTCTTACAGAAACAAGTAGTCATAAAATATGTGCCAAGCCAAATTTAATTGGGTCTTTTTTTTCTTTTTTTCCCCAAATTTTTGTCCCCATGTCGTGGAGCATTTGTCAGTTTTAGTTCGCTATGCAATACTGATCCCCACGTATATCCTGGGGTAGGGAATAGGGGGGGGGGAAGTGTCAGGGTTTACTTTGATCGGTGCATTACCTCAAATAGCAAAATTTACATTTAAGTGACATGTAAGTGGTGCATAAATAAAGGGTACTACACGTAGCTGTCTAACAGGTGTCTACATTTTATATAGATATTAAAGTAAGCTTACAGTACCTCATTTGTACAGAATGCTTGATTATCATGATTGCTTTCATAATTTATTATCTTCAGATAATTTAAAGAGAAAAGATTTTTATAAGTTATTAGGAGTATCGCCAAATGCAAATGCCAAGGAGATCAAAAAGGCATATTTTGAGGTATTTATCTTGCTGTATTTCTTTTAGATTCAGCCTTACAGGCCAGACAGACATGGATGATAATGATTTCTTTTAGATAATATATTAATAAATATTCAACTATGAAAAATAATGCAGAATTATTCCTAAAGCCAATGAAGTTGTTTTAGTTCATTAAATAAGTAAATTCTCTCAAATTATAGAAGTAAAAAATTACTATTTTAGTTGAGGCAACATAACTTTGAAATATCCATTTGAATGAATTTTTTTATGAATTTCAAACTCAACAGCTTGCAAAGAAATATCATCCAGATACTAATTCTAAAGACAAAAAGGCAGCAGAAAAGTTCCAGGAAATAAATGAAGCATATGAGGTAAAGACAGAATATTTTATATAAAGTAGTAACATCTCCCCACACTCTCATCCTTTGAGTTATCTACTATATTATTTTTTGTTATTATATAGATATCGATGAAATACCAGGTTTTCTCTAGTGTCGAAAACTTGATATCTTTCACCAGTGGAAGATACCATATCTTTCACATGTGAAGATATCGCTGTTGACATAGTAACATATTCTAATAAAGAATTTTTGAGCTTATGTTTTATTTAAGTTTCATCAATATCTATATAATAAACAGAACATTACATGGCCGCTTGGAGATACGAATTTTATCTTCGAGTGTTCAATTTAGATATCTCACTCGTTCGCTGTGCTCACTCGTGAGATATCAGTTGAAGCTCAAAGATAAAATTCGTATCTCCGCGCGCCCATGTAACATCCTCTATATATTATCCTTATGACTCTTGCAAAAATTCATGAGTATCCCAAAGGATAGGAAAGTAATAACGATGATATCCCGACGAGTTTCAAAACAATAGCTGTTCATTCCCCTAGAGGTTTGTCACTTTCAATTGGGAAAACATTGTCACACCAAAGATAGGGTCTATTCCAAATCAATCTGTAAGTTAGGCAATCCCTGACTTTAATCAGCAAAGAGGTTGTTTCAGGATTTTCAGGGCAAGAAAAAGTTAAATTTTTTTGAACATGTGTTGAAAAACTAATATGTCAGAAACTGTAATAATAATATTATCCTAATTTTGTTAATGTACTACATTTATTTCCTTCAGATTCTTAGTGACGATAATAAGAGAAGAGCATATGACAGTTATGGTCAGACAGAATTTTCTTCGGCAGGTGCAGGTAAGGGCAGGTGGCTAAAAACTAATTAAATTACATACACACTCCCACCTAAGAAGACATTCCTGATGTATTTGATTTTTACCAGATAAATAGCGATTAAATTTTCAATAGAAATGTTTAAGGGAAGCATTGTTTGACTCTGGAATCCTCTTATGAGTTTCATTTTCTGGTGTGTAAAAAGTAATTGTACATCATTAGTAGCTATGTAATTAATATAGTATTACATTTATAATTGGACATGGAATACAATTATCAAAAGTATTTGTTTGTTTTTGATGAAATTATTGTTAAATAGATGTTTCGACCACTTTATCAATGGCTTTCATCATGGCTTGCATGGCGTGATGTCTTTCATGGCTTGCTTTAATCAGAGACAAACAAATACTATTGATGATATGAATCCTGAATGCAAATTATGAAATACATGTACAATGTTTATCCCCAAATAGACTTAATTTGTCTTAGTGCAAAGTTCACCCATTTCAGTCTACATGTCATTCCCTAGAAAATAATATTCTTTGTTTGAGTTGTATCGAAGATATTTATGTCTCTTGTGCAACCATTAAACAAAGTAATAATACTCTAAGGAATGATACGTGGTCTGATGGGAAAACATTGCACCAAGTAATAAGATTCATGAAATTCACTAGTCCTATTGTGAGAATTACATTAGTAAGAAGATACAGTACATGTACAATGTACTTTATTTGTGTTTTGACCTATACTCTTCATTCTTACTTTGTAGGCAATCCCTTTGGAGGGGCGGCAGGCTTTGATGCTGAGGACATTTTTAGAACATTTTTTGGGGGACAGAATGGACCATTCAGCGGCTTTAGAACAGCAGGGATGGACTTTGAAGATCTACAACAAGCACAACAGGTGCATTTAGTAACAAACCTTTTAACTAGAGATTGCAGTACATTTGCACAAATGAATAGATAAATAATGGATAAATGTATGAATATGTTAGGAATGAATGAATGAATGGAGAAATAATAAATATATGAATAAATATTAAATAAATGAGTGACAGAGATGAGTGATTATTTTTGAGAAAAGACATTGGCTCTGTGGACAGCCTATTGAATGAAGGGACGAATGAATAAGTGCATGTGTGAATGAATTTATGAATGACAGTAATGAGTGGATTACTGGAAGACTATTCTTTGAGAAAAGACAATAGCTCTTGGACAGCCTATGTTTGAATGAATGGATAAATGAATAAGTGCATGTGTGAATGAATTTATGAATATCAGTAATAAGTTGATTACTGGAAGACTATTCTTTGAGAAAAGACAATAGCTCTGTGGACAGCCTATGTTTGAATGAATGGATAAATGAATAAGTGCATGTGTGAATGAATTTATGAATATCAGTAATTTCTAATTAATTTCTTAAAAAATTAAGAAGATAAATTGACCCCTTTTTTTGTTTCTCAGTATGCAATGAACCTATCTTTCATGGAAGCAGCCAAGGGCTGTAATAAAGACATGACAATAAGAACTAGAGTTATCTGTGACAGATGTAATGGGAAAAAAGCAGAACCTGGAACAACTCATTCCAAGTGCTCTCAATGTAATGGCACAGGACAGGTCAGTAGTGGGGTAATAATAGGGTAGATTTTGTATGATGGCAAAATGTCATGCACCTCCATTACTGTACAGAATATCATAGTATACAAGGTCAGATCACTGCTTAGTAGGGTTTGTGCAGGTCCTTGACAAGCCCTTGAATTTATGATGGCAATTTTGTGTACAGAGTGGGTTAATCATATGAACCTTTTTCCCTCAGGAAAGTGTAAACACTGGGTTTTTCTTTATGAAATCAACATGCCGCAAATGTGGAGGACAAGGGTACACCATAACTACACCTTGTAAGAAGTGCCGAGGAAAGGGGCGAGTGATGGAGACTATGAACATCACAGTCCCAGTGCCCGCAGGTAGGTGTACAGTAACCCACCCTGTACTGTACTCCAGGTCAGACTAAATTAAGCACATTCTCTATGCCACTCTACCCATGTGCTGAACCTAATTAAATGTAGGTTTAACTCCGAAATCGTTTTTAAGCAGATGCTGGTTAAGGAAGTGAACTTAATTTTGAAGGTCTAGCAGTTTCAATTTGGCATGGCAAACGGGGCTTGCCGCATTATGTGACACTTGAGCAGCAGCTGATTGATATGCCACTCTTTTGCTGTACTGAATTTATCGATGGGACAGGCCTTACTCCTGAGAAATTGGACTTCAAAATTACAAATTGATTTCTTGCCCAATCGATTCATGGCTGGTTTCATTGTTGTAAGAGATTTAACATGGTTGCATTGTTATTTTACAAAAACCAAAACTTATGACTGAGAAGCTGTGATTCCTCTTTCTCACATGATTAGCCCCATTGCCTTAAATAGAAAAATGGAAGAAAACAATATGTTGGAAGAACTGACTGAATCTGTTGTTTAGGTATTGAGGATGGTCAAACAATCCGCCTTCCAGTGGGGACTGGTGAGGTATACATCACACTAAAGGTGCGTGCATAACAATTTGAACTTCTTAACCTGCATATTTTACAAACAACACCAAGTTTTACAGCCACTTTTCAGAATTCTGTATAACCAAGACGATTCCAGATTTTAGGGTTTTAGCTTTCATCCATCAAAAATGTTTTTCTCAAATGATTGGGAATTTTGTGCAGAAGTTTTAAAAAATTCTCTTTTTGTGTAGGTTGCTGAAAGCAAGATCTTTGAGCGTCAAGGAGCAAATGTATATTCCACAGCCAATATTAGTTTTACCCAGGTACAAATAAGTCGTCATTATATTTACAAGTACTGTTGCTTCTGTACCTGGTGATTTTTGTACTTTGTTTTTTACTAAAAGAGGTTTTCTTGCCTGGTATTTAGGCACTCCTTGGTGGTACCATCAAAATACCTGGAATACAGGGGGATATTGAATTGAAGGTCAGTAAGGTGCTGCTTATAATCATGATGCTGATGGTGAGGATGGCGATGTTTATTGTGATTGCGGTGTTTATTGTGATGGTGATGGTGGTGATGGATAATGGTGGTGATAATGATGATGATGTTGATGATGCTGATGGTAATGGTGATGATAATGATGGTACTGATGGTAATGGAGATGATGGACGATGGTGCTGCTGATGATGATGGATGATGATGATGGATGATGATGATGGATGATGATGATAGATGATGATGATAATGATGATGATGATGTTAATATTAGTGATGATGTTGGTGTAATTAGCATGGTTATTGCTTGCAATACATACCGTTCTCAGGAGAGCATACTGCGATATTAATCGTGTTATAATATCATTTAAATGAACCTTAAAAGGTTCCCCCAGGTACTCAGTCACATCAGCAAATGAGATTAAGCAACCGTGGTATACCCAGGATCGATGGTCATGGACGAGGGGACCACTATGTCAGCTTCAAAATCCATATCCCTAAGTAAGTCACATGTCTGTTGGACGTACACTCTACAATTATGAGCGCCGAATATTATTGCTCGTGTCATAACGTGCCTTTGATTTTACATCAGCCAATCATTACGTTTCTAGCAAGTTTTTAGCTACAGGTAGTTATCTCTTATTACGTTTCTTAGACAAGTATTTTTGCTGCTGAGTGCATATGTAGAAAAGGAATTCGTTGGCCAATCAAAACGTACAATTTTTATATAAACCGATACTTTACGGAGCTGAAGACAGTCGTTGGCTAATTTAAAGTGCACATTATTTCTGATCATTTTAATACCCTTGGCCTAGTCGTATCATGCCATGCGTTATATCGTATATATGAAATCTTGGTTTTCTCTCTCCAGATATTTGAATAGCAAGCAAAAAGCCCTCATTTTAGCCTATGCAGAACTAGAAACTGACGTTAGTGGTACTGTTAATGGAGTAGATAAAACCAAAGCAGGTATGTGAATTCAAGCATTTATATATTTAAATGCATAAAAGATGTATTGTAGATGCTGTTATGGAATGGATCTATCAAATCATTTTTGATTCCTTTTTTCGAAAACCTTTTTCCCTGACGTGTGAAAGGAATAAAGCACCGTTATTTACTGTAAACATCATACTATAGGGAGAAGATTGTTCTACGATAGGTTATATAGTATATTCTGAGGTTTTAAGTCAAGCGATAAGGTCATCTCGTATCTCTTACTACTGAACTGCAAAATGTTTGTTTTTTCGTAATAAATCGAGCTTCTAATTGACGGTCAGAATTCTTGTATTATTTCCTCGTCAGACATATCCTTATTTCTAGTCCTGTTTATCCCAACTACCTCGGATTTGCTTTTCGGTTCCCACAACTTCAAGATTTCGCTTCAGTTTCTGATAAAATCGACGGAAGAAAAAGAAAAGAACTTAAACACAATCCCTTTGTGTCTTTCAGGACTCAATGTACAGCGAGTGTGGGATGTTTTCCGGGAATCGAAAGAGAGTTTTAAAGATTCGTTCGATTCTAAAGAACAGAAACAACAAAATGATGAAAAACTGAACCCAGATGGTAGTTGGGAAGGAGGAGATGATAAACAAGAAGAAATTCATGCGAAAGAACTTCAAAAGACGATAAAACTTGGTTTAGTTTTAGTAACAGTTTGTGTCTTGTATATCATATATAGTAGCTTTGGCTCTCCGGCTGTTACTGAAGGAAAAAAGGCACAAGAACCTCGGAGTGATGAATCATACGATAGCTATGGTTGCTGACAGTGATGTGTGATGTTTACAGTGAATAGCTTTGGAAATTCTTTTTATATTGTTTTATGGAAGAGAGTTGATACCCAGTAGTCAGGCAGTTTTCTATGAAAGAGTAAAGTGGAAAGCTAAGATTGTATTGAAATGAAAGCAATTGTTCATCCATAAAGAATCCTTTGCAATTTGATTTCGTAAGAACAGTTCATCCCTGTTTACTTATCTCCCTTTCTCCGGCCCTGCATTCTTCCCTCTCCCTCCCTCTCCCTCCCTTTCCCTCCATCACTTCATCCACCCATCCATCTATTCTTCCTTCCCTTCATCCATACCTCCATTATATCCTTCATCCCTTCATCCATCCTTCCGCCAACCCTCCCTGGCCCATCGACCTTCCTTTC